ATCTCGAACCGATCTCAGTACCGATCTTAGATCGATCTCAGGTCGATCTCATTTAAGCGATCTCAGTATGAACGGGGCCTAAGATAATTTGCAGTCTGTCTTCTTTGAATTAAATTTGTAACTCACTCACACAGTTAAACCATTAATTGAAGATGATTCGAAACTCACTTTTTACTAGATTGCCCAAGTTATTGTTCCTTGAGAAATATGTTCTTTACTAAAAGTTGAATCTCTCCTCAACGGCCACCTTGGCGACGGAAGAACGTGGCCGTTGTAGAGAGGTTTAAACGAGAGTCGATGTATGGACTTTCCGCCAAAAATGTGGCCATTGTAGAGAGATGTCCGTTAGTGGAGGTTCGAGTGTAGGACCTAGCATACCATTTCCACGACCACTGGTACCAAAAGAAACTATAATGTTTACATGTAACACATCTAATGAACTCAACTAACTATTCATAAACACTCAATTAATTTTATTTGTTTCGAGTTGAGAGATAAAGTTCTCTCCGGAATAATCACTCCCATTGTATGATCGGTATTAAAACTAAGCAAGGATGTTGCTTTTTTTTTTTTAAAAAAAATATATATTCTTAAGTTATAGTAAGAATTAACTAATGAATCAATAGTTAGCTATTAATAGCTTTGCAATAGTGTATCAGAGTTACAGTCATGCAAATAAAGCTTCTTGGTTTTGCTGTCAAATAGCAGTTGACATCCATTGTGTTGTATTTTTGCTACTTTTTGTTATGATTGTAGTCAGTAGTCCGACTACAAAATGTGTGAAATTTTGGGCCATTTTCTCCAGCTTTACCAAAACATCTGAGTTTTAACACAAACTCATCTCCTGGGCTTCTCGTTTTGCCTTCCTTTTTATGGCGATGGCCTGTAGTATCAACGTCATTTTACCGGATATGGCAAACGTGTTCCAAATTTGTTCAAGCCTGTTTCAGATGTTAGTTATGATTGAAGAATTACTAGCCGGGGTCGGAGGATTTGGGCCAATCAGAAACGGAGAAATAGTTTAAAAGATTGATGATAATGGTTAATTTTTAAGTAGACCAGTAAAAACTAGTAGAGGTTGGCCGGGACGCTATTGTTCAAAACTTAAATAAATTATTCTCACCATTTTTTTCAGGCAAACAGTGTTGAGTAAGAACAATAAAATAGCTTGGGTGAACAATCTAAGTGGACCCTGCTGTGTTCACAACTGAAGGTTTTTCATCGCCTAGAGACGGCAATGGAATTAGAAGAAAAAGTAAGGATACTCAAAGAACAATTCAGTTCTTTGCCAAGGATCCTTATCAAAAAGACTCTTTGTAGCGATGACATTAATGAAGACCTTGAGAAATGCAAACAGCGGTTGCAAGAATTTAACAAGCAAATTAATAATCCATCTCTCAGGAGTACCTCAGCAGGCACTACAACGAGATTACATGATCCGTCACAGGAAGGGTGTGTCAGCACAGACAAGGCAGAAGATCTTTCTGAAAATGTTTTGGAGAATCGAAATGTAAAAGGTAAGCATAGCACCCCAAAGAGGGGAACCGTAAATCTCAAACGATAAATGTGTTAACAGCATAGATGACCACTATTATATGACTTGACCAAGCAAGCGTGCCCTGTCTCCATGTGTGTACTAAATCGGCCTCGTGTTCTTTATATTCGCTCTGGTTTCGCTTTATATTTACCCTGATTTTAGTTTTTATGATGATTTTTAGACTTTTTTCTATTATTCATATAGCTCATATAAATCTCGTTCTTTATTAAGTCAGGGTGATTGGGATCGTTCAGTCCTGTGACACTTTTAGGCAATAGTAATTGTGTTATGGTAGGAAGCTTTACTGAAACAGAAAAGTCGAACATTTTTCTTTTTAATTCTTGTTCTTCCCTTTTATCTTACTTTCCTCCCTCTTCTTCTTCTTCTTCTTCTTCTTCTTCTTCTTCTTCTTCTTCTTCTTCTTCTTCTTCTTCTTCTTCTTCTTCTTATTATTATTATTATTATTATTATTATTATTCTCCTTTTTCTACGTCTTTTCCCTTTTCGTCTGGCTTTCCACTGTCAGTCAGCAACCCTTGAAAAGGACCCTTTAGATGATTCAGAAAGCACATGCATTCAAAACCAAGATATGGGACAAAAATACTGCTATGTACATTTTAGGTGGCTTGTCCTCCTCTTTCAAGTCTTTTGCTGCTCCGAATCCTTGTGGGTGGAACAACGGTACCACGTTTGCAGAGCAAAGACCTCTTGATAACTGCAACGTGAAGCCTGTGTTCTCAGCTCCAAAACTTGAACAACTATCGGATCTAGCAAAGATGATGTTGCAGAGTCCAGGAATCATAGCCGAAAATCCCAAAATGATGGTTCCAGATCCTCCCAAACTTAAATCCCAGTCAAATGCTATTAACAGTGGCAAACACAGCGTTTATGAAGCTTGCCTGAACCCTTATGCAAGCAAAATGACATTTGAAAAACAAAGATATCTTCATAACGGCGACGTGAAACCTACGATCTCATCAGTTCGGAAACTTGGAGAAGTATCGGATCCAGCAAAGATAATCACACAGAGCCCAGCGGTCATATCCAAAGGCAAAAGGATGGTCCCAGATTCCCCGAAACCTAAATCCAAATCAAATGTTAATCTTCATAATAACACGGAAAAGGTGTCGCATCCTGAAATAATGCGCACACAGAAAGAAGAGTTAGCCACTACTGTAAAGAGGAATGCCCCTAGTCCCCCCAAAACCAAACCTAAACCAGCCTGGAGGACAAAACGAGGTAAGACAAGAGCCCTTTAATTTATGATAAGACATCAAGGCAGAAAACAGAAGAAGAATTTTTTTTCAGGAGTAAAAAAGTTATTTCCAGTGATGAGACGGGTCAGCCTTCCTAATGAAATGCAGTGGACTAGAAAGAAGGTTTCCACACTGAATGTTATGTTTCGTATTGGAGAGCGCAATATATGTTATAACTAGGTTCTAGGCGTGTATATTTTGCCTTCCTTTGTTATTCGAGATCAAGCAATAAAATTGTGTTTCAAGTGTAAGTATTAAGTTATACCGAAAGAAATCTACAACTGCATAAGATGCATGACGAGTTTAACTTCCCTGGAGCCGCTTCCGACAACCCACGAGCCCATACAATAATACATCTGCCACAACAGTTATATGTTCTTGGCAACAAGGCCAATAAGGGTCCCACAAGCTTACACCTAACATTAGTCCTGTGAAGAGCTGTACTATCATTTCTTTCTTTTTCTTTTTTACTGTTTTTTTTTGGGTGTCGTTGAAAAGGATATATTCGGCTTTTAGATGTTTAACTTTTTTTATTCCATAGTGCAAAACGAGGTATATAAGCAAAAAAAGACACAAAACAGCGGAGAAGATGAACGGCACTCCAGTGAAAGAACAGTATCTGAGGCCTCCTTTAATGCCGGCGTGAATACTCAAGAATTAGAGGAGAAGATCAAAAAGCTCCACGAGGAATTCCCTCGTTCGCCGAGAGTGCTCATTAAGAAGACTCTTTGTAGTGATGACGTTCAGTGTGATCTTGTGAAAGCCAAAAGACGGCTACAGGAATTTTCACAAATAGACGATCCATCTCTCAAGAGTCCTGTGGCAAGTGAGTTCATCTCAGACAACTCAAACAGAGATTTGCAGATGAGCAAAGGGAAACCTCATTCAGGTTTGTAAATAATGAAAAAAGTTGCTATGTAAGTACTGGAGACCATATTTTTTAGATTTATTGCCCTTAATGTTTCTGTTCATTTCCTTATGAAAAGGACTCTAGCGGAATTGCACTCCTTCATCATTCGGAAATGTTGCAATTCGAATGGAAACATTTGATTGACGTCCACGACAACTCAGGTTGCAACCTAGAAAAAAACCTATCAAGGGAGTGTGTTATTGGAAACCGCTGTACGTTGTACGAGTATATTCCGCATTTCCTTGTTAGTCGATATCTAAGAATGAAAAAGTAGCACGGGTAGTATAAAGTTAACCTGAAGAAAATCTAGAGCAACATAAGATAACGACTCGGTCGAACTCTGGCTTTAAGTTGCCAGGAGTTGTGTCCAACGAACCGTGTATACAAGCTCGGATATTATTCATTATTTTTAGTTAGAATAGTTCAGCTCGCTCGAACAATATTTTGCCAGTAGCGACCAAAGAACAATATGCACAGATTATCTTGATGTTGGTCTTCTGGGAAGAGGTGCATGTGTTGCTGTTGAAAAGGATGTTATGCGTTTTAATCTTTGTATTTTTATCGTGTTCCGGGCTCCTAGCTGGCTAACTTTTTTTATTCCATAGTGCAAAACGAGGTATATAGGCACAAAAACATACAAAACAGCGGAGAAGATGAACGGCACTCCAGTGAAAGAACAGTAACTGAGGCCTCCTCTAATGTCAGCATGAATTCTCAAGAATTAGAGGATAAGATCAGAAAGCTCCAGGAGGAATTCCCTCGTTCACCGAGAGTGCTCATTAAGAAGACTCTTTGTAGTGATGACGTTCAGTGTGATCTTGTGAAAGCCAAAAAACGGTTACAGGAATTTTCACAAATAGACGATCCATCCCTCAAGAGTCCTGTGGCAACTGGGTTCGTCTCAGACAACTCATACAGAGATCCACAGATGGGCAAAGGGAAACCTCATTCAGGTTTGTAAATAATGAACATAGAACATATTTTCAAGATTTCTCTCCCCTACGAGTTTCTTTCCATTACCTTAAGCAGATTCGAGACGTAATCCAGTCTTGAGTCTCTATCCAAGGCAGGGATGATTGGAGAAGGCGGTAACTGAGCCGACATTTTCAGAATCTTGCTCTCTTTAATTTTCTTCGGCAGCTTTTACACTTCTTACCATTTCAGATCTGTTACTCCGAGATCATGTTATGGCATATTATTTGTCACTTTAACTTGAATTGTAAATCTCCTGAACGAAATTCTGTGGAGTTATGATAATTCAATTGGAACGCCCCTTTGGCAGAAATTTTGCATGGTACCATTTGTTTCATATCTATGGGATTTAGCAACAAGAATATCATTCTTCTTTTGTGAACTTTGTCTTTAGCCACTGAAAGACGCGAAATGATTAACTAAGTATATGTATGTGTAATCAAATGGCGACGAGTGAAATTAGGCAATAATTTCACGCGCGTTTTGTCCAAATCCTAATAATTTCCCGAGCCTTCAGGCGAGGGAAATTATCAGGATTTGGACGAAACGCAAGGGAAATTATTCCCTAATTTCACGAGTATACCATTTGATTACCTATTAATATCATGGGTGACGAATTACGTTAGCAATCTTGGATTTTTGACATGTTTATCCTGGATCGTATCGATCGAGAACTCCACTCTGTCAAATGTTTGGACCCTAAATTTGGCTTATAAAGTTCAGAAATTTTCAGACTTTTTCGGCAAAATACCTGTTAGAATCCTTCTTGATGTTCTCTTGTGTGTTCAGGTTTTGTAAAGCCTCTTTTTGTGCTCTGACATTTTCATTCACAGCATTTTAAAACTTCGTCGCCATCTTGACACTGAGACGTACGGAAGGGTTGCCATGGTAATTTTGTAATTTCACATGTGAAATTACAAATTAACTCTGAAATTTCGCGCCAAAATTAAGGAGTAATTCGTCACCTATGATATTAACATGTGTATTGTGTTTAGCAATCACCAAATCAGTGAATCAATTAAGTGATTGGCTAGCTCCCGTAACTCGAAGTATACTTGGCTGTTCACCATTTTGGAACGGGAATCAACTTGGTGGGTCGTTTCGCGACAGTTTCAAATGATGACATTTTAGCTATTAATGAAGCACTTGTACCAAAAGAAGAAAAAATTTCGACGTCTGCACTTGAAAATTCTTTTCCTTTACATAATCTGCCATTTTTTTAGCTTCCGAGCAGAATAAAGTCTTAGAATCCTGAGGAGTTTCTGAACATGTTCATCGGTACAATCTTTTGTTTTTGTATTGCTTTGTTTGTTAATTCAGTCGGTCAGTTGAAATTGACACAAATGTGACAGTACGTGTGACGTGTGAAAAGAGAAGATGTCTATCTTCCGTACCGGACGCTAGACTTCAAGGGAGTTTGAATGCAGGCACACTAGGAGTGTTCGACACTGCCTCACAGATCAAATGACTGCACTGTGCACTTTTTTTTGCTGGCTCGAGGCCGGTTAAATGCTTCATTTTCAAACCATATAGATAATAATAGTGACTGCTGTGACCTGTGTAAATTCTGAGTTGTGTACATTTGTATATAGTTTAAGGTGGTAAGATCATTAATTTAAAAAATCACGGAATTGATGGGTGCCAATACTTAGGAAAGTGTCCCCAATTTGCTAACTGTTAAGCTAAATATATTGCAACTAAAATGACGTTGTTATTATAATTATTATTATTATCACTGTTTTCTCCGACGAATGATCCACGTTCTTAGACATGATGAATGTCATTGGCATTGACAAAAAGCAGCAACTTTATATAATCAAGAAATTAAATGATGAACATAGCCATTAGCGCAACATATTACATCTTTTGGTGTAGAAATAGGAATTGGAATAGCCCAGACTTATGCAATTTTGATTTTCTTTTCTTCTTCGTCTTTCTTTTTTTCGAATAATTTAATCTCAAGCAGCATTTGTAAATTGCTTATACGTAGCGAGATTTACAATTGTACATTCAAAAACACAAATAAAGCTTCCATTATTATTATTATTATTATTATTATTATTATTATATAGAGCTAGTGTTTATTAAGCTTACACCTAACATTAGTCCTGTGAAGAGCTGTACTATCATTTCTTTCTTTTTCTTTTTTACTGTTTTTTTTTGGGTGTCGTTGAAAAGGATATATTCGGCTTTTAGATGTTTAACTTTTTTTATTCCATAGTGCAAAACGAGGTATATAAGCAAAAAAAGACACAAAACAGCGGAGAAGATGAACGGCACTCCAGTGAAAGAACAGTATCTGAGGCCTCCTTTAATGCCGGCGTGAATACTCAAGAATTAGAGGAGAAGATCAAAAAGCTCCACGAGGAATTCCCTCGTTCGCCGAGAGTGCTCATTAAGAAGACTCTTTGTAGTGATGACGTTCAGTGTGATCTTGTGAAAGCCAAAAGACGGCTACAGGAATTTTCACAAATAGACGATCCATCTCTCAAGAGTCCTGTGGCAAGTGAGTTCATCTCAGACAACTCAAACAGAGATTTGCAGATGAGCAAAGGGAAACCTCATTCAGGTTTGTAAATAATGAAAAAAGTTGCTATGTAAGTACTGGAGACCATATTTTTTAGATTTATTGCCCTTAATGTTTCTGTTCATTTCCTTATGAAAAGGACTCTAGCGGAATTGCACTCCTTCATCATTCGGAAATGTTGCAATTCGAATGGAAACATTTGATTGACGTCCACGACAACTCAGGTTGCAACCTAGAAAAAAACCTATCAAGGGAGTGTGTTATTGGAAACCGCTGTACGTTGTACGAGTATATTCCGCATTTCCTTGTTAGTCGATATCTAAGAATGAAAAAGTAGCACGGGTAGTATAAAGTTAACCTGAAGAAAATCTAGAGCAACATAAGATAACGACTCGGTCGAACTCTGGCTTTAAGTTGCCAGGAGTTGTGTCCAACGAACCGTGTATACAAGCTCGGATATTATTCATTATTTTTAGTTAGAATAGTTCAGCTCGCTCGAACAATATTTTGCCAGTAGCGACCAAAGAACAATATGCACAGATTATCTTGATGTTGGTCTTCTGGGAAGAGGTGCATGTGTTGCTGTTGAAAAGGATGTTATGCGTTTTAATCTTTGTATTTTTATCGTGTTCCGGGCTCCTAGCTGGCTAACTTTTTTTATTCCATAGTGCAAAACGAGGTATATAGGCACAAAAACATACAAAACAGCGGAGAAGATGAACGGCACTCCAGTGAAAGAACAGTAACTGAGGCCTCCTCTAATGTCAGCATGAATTCTCAAGAATTAGAGGATAAGATCAGAAAGCTCCAGGAGGAATTCCCTCGTTCACCGAGAGTGCTCATTAAGAAGACTCTTTGTAGTGATGACGTTCAGTGTGATCTTGTGAAAGCCAAAAAACGGTTACAGGAATTTTCACAAATAGACGATCCATCCCTCAAGAGTCCTGTGGCAACTGGGTTCGTCTCAGACAACTCATACAGAGATCCACAGATGGGCAAAGGGAAACCTCATTCAGGTTTGTAAATAATGAACATAGAACATATTTTCAAGATTTCTCTCCCCTACGAGTTTCTTTCCATTACCTTAAGCAGATTCGAGACGTAATCCAGTCTTGAGTCTCTATCCAAGGCAGGGATGATTGGAGAAGGCGGTAACTGAGCCGACATTTTCAGAATCTTGCTCTCTTTAATTTTCTTCGGCAGCTTTTACACTTCTTACCATTTCAGATCTGTTACTCCGAGATCATGTTATGGCATATTATTTGTCACTTTAACTTGAATTGTAAATCTCCTGAACGAAATTCTGTGGAGTTATGATAATTCAATTGGAACGCCCCTTTGGCAGAAATTTTGCATGGTACCATTTGTTTCATATCTATGGGATTTAGCAACAAGAATATCATTCTTCTTTTGTGAACTTTGTCTTTAGCCACTGAAAGACGCGAAATGATTAACTAAGTATATGTATGTGTAATCAAATGGCGACGAGTGAAATTAGGCAATAATTTCACGCGCGTTTTGTCCAAATCCTAATAATTTCCCGAGCCTTCAGGCGAGGGAAATTATCAGGATTTGGACGAAACGCAAGGGAAATTATTCCCTAATTTCACGAGTATACCATTTGATTACCTATTAATATCATGGGTGACGAATTACGTTAGCAATCTTGGATTTTTGACATGTTTATCCTGGATCGTATCGATCGAGAACTCCACTCTGTCAAATGTTTGGACCCTAAATTTGGCTTATAAAGTTCAGAAATTTTCAGACTTTTTCGGCAAAATACCTGTTAGAATCCTTCTTGATGTTCTCTTGTGTGTTCAGGTTTTGTAAAGCCTCTTTTTGTGCTCTGACATTTTCATTCACAGCATTTTAAAACTTCGTCGCCATCTTGACACTGAGACGTACGGAAGGGTTGCCATGGTAATTTTGTAATTTCACATGTGAAATTACAAATTAACTCTGAAATTTCGCGCCAAAATTAAGGAGTAATTCGTCACCTATGATATTAACATGTGTATTGTGTTTAGCAATCACCAAATCAGTGAATCAATTAAGTGATTGGCTAGCTCCCGTAACTCGAAGTATACTTGGCTGTTCACCATTTTGGAACGGGAATCAACTTGGTGGGTCGTTTCGCGACAGTTTCAAATGATGACATTTTAGCTATTAATGAAGCACTTGTACCAAAAGAAGAAAAAATTTCGACGTCTGCACTTGAAAATTCTTTTCCTTTACATAATCTGCCATTTTTTTAGCTTCCGAGCAGAATAAAGTCTTAGAATCCTGAGGAGTTTCTGAACATGTTCATCGGTACAATCTTTTGTTTTTGTATTGCTTTGTTTGTTAATTCAGTCGGTCAGTTGAAATTGACACAAATGTGACAGTACGTGTGACGTGTGAAAAGAGAAGATGTCTATCTTCCGTACCGGACGCTAGACTTCAAGGGAGTTTGAATGCAGGCACACTAGGAGTGTTCGACACTGCCTCACAGATCAAATGACTGCACTGTGCACTTTTTTTTGCTGGCTCGAGGCCGGTTAAATGCTTCATTTTCAAACCATATAGATAATAATAGTGACTGCTGTGACCTGTGTAAATTCTGAGTTGTGTACATTTGTATATAGTTTAAGGTGGTAAGATCATTAATTTAAAAAATCACGGAATTGATGGGTGCCAATACTTAGGAAAGTGTCCCCAATTTGCTAACTGTTAAGCTAAATATATTGCAACTAAAATGACGTTGTTATTATAATTATTATTATTATCACTGTTTTCTCCGACGAATGATCCACGTTCTTAGACATGATGAATGTCATTGGCATTGACAAAAAGCAGCAACTTTATATAATCAAGAAATTAAATGATGAACATAGCCATTAGCGCAACATATTACATCTTTTGGTGTAGAAATAGGAATTGGAATAGCCCAGACTTATGCAATTTTGATTTTCTTTTCTTCTTCGTCTTTCTTTTTTTCGAATAATTTAATCTCAAGCAGCATTTGTAAATTGCTTATACGTAGCGAGATTTACAATTGTACATTCAAAAACACAAATAAAGCTTCCATTATTATTATTATTATTATTATTATTATTATTATATAGAGCTAGTGTTTATTGAAGCAAAGTGTTTTTTTATAGCATTGCAAAGGAAGTATCGGGAACAGAAGTATCAGGAAAGCGATGAAAACTCTAAAGAAGAAGATTATAATGAAGGCTATGGCAGTGATTATGAAGTAGAGTGTGGCGGTGATTGGCAAGATAATGATTGTGCCGACAATGTGAGAAATTGGGATGATGACGATGAAAATGATTATGACTATGATTATGAAGAAGATTATAACGATAGTTCTGATGATTATGACGTCGACGATGTTCTAGAGGATGGTTACTATGATTATGAAGAAGATTGCGAAGAAGTTTGTTGTAATATTCCAGTGGTTTCACAACTAGGTAACCTCCTTCATGGTCAAACTTCTAGGGGAAGAAGAGTGGATTCTAAACTGATGCTGTTTTCGAACCAAGGTTGGTCTCGTCTTCAAAGCACAGGAGGATATAACCCTGTCGAAGACCACTTGCAACTGAATGGAGGTAATTATTACAAAAATAGGGATCTCCAGTGTCAGACATGACTACGTAATGGTCTGGTAAATACACCGACGGTTCAGTTAACCTGCACTGTGGGGAAAAAACGGAGACAAACGTATTACATGTCGTTACTGTAATTACTACTTTGATAATCTCCTACTTCTGAAGTGGAGAGGCATGTGGCTCGTTTGCCATCTCTCCATCAAGAGGCTCTCTTTTTATTATTAACCGCCTGGAATAATTAAATTGGGAAATAATGACCTTTTTTAACATTTTGCGCAAAGGGAATTCACACTCTCTATTTTCATCCTACCCTGGAGAGAGGACCATGGATCGACCATGTTCAACTATGGTTTTAAGATTAAAAAATAAAAGATTAAGATATCAGAAGAGAAGCATCAACTATATAGAAATGAAAGATAGTAAAAAAACTTAGACGCGTGCTAAAATAACGTAACAGAACAACATGCAGAAATGTCACATATCTGAACTGCTGATGACTCTGATTAAGTCAATCGGTCCTCATTTTCAATCGTAAGAAAGAAGAGACACTCCGACCAAAGTAAATCCAGTTGTACTAAGTATAATCTATACACAATGCAAGTTTCCACGGCACCCACACATAAATTATTGATATGGACCCTTTTTTTTCAGATAACTTGTCTCCCAGCGGCTGGGCTCCAATGCCTCTTCACGAAAGGGGAAATGAAGTTGCTGTTCATACGGTGAACCTAGCAAGCACTTGTCCTGAGTACCAAGAGGTCGCACAGAGGGTAAGACAGACACTTCCGTCCCAGAATATTGTCAGCATCGCAAGAATTCAAAATCCCTTTCTTTACCAGTCTTATCAACTGCGAAAGCAAAAAATGAAGAAAGACAATGGAGGAGATAACGAACGCCAGCTGTTTCACGGCACAAATCCAGATAACGTAACAAAAATTAACACTCAAGGATTTGACAGAAGTTTATCAGGCTCAGCAAATGGTGAGAATTCTTAACCTTCACAAAGTGCAATAGTTACCGTAAAAAGTGTAGATTGTCCAATCACAACGTTTTCTGAAAACAAAAGATTCTCAAGGTTTTTTTCAAACGGACAAATAAAATTCAAGTATTCAACTAAAAACTTTAAAACCGTTTGAAATTATCTGACCTCTCAGGAAACAACCCTCAGATTTATAAATGTTATTGGTCCGTTTGCAAAAAAACTAGGGGATCTTTTGTTTCAAAAAAGCATTCAACTACAGTATACTTGCAATCTCCAGCGGCGGTTGTCTCTATGGGTTCAGGATTAACAATCAGAGAGGACTAATCCCGACCAAGTGCTCAATTGGTCAATTGGGGGTCAGTATGCATCTCGTAAGCAAAAACACTGAAGACACCAAATTGTAGCTACTGGCTATCTAAACACTGGAGCAGAATAAGTGTTCTGGTGACTCATGAATGCCAAGCTTAAAATCAGTCCATTTATTTGTTTTTTAGTAGCCTGAGAAACTCCACCTCGGTTGTAGTCTTGCTCCTCAGTGCTATGAATAATCACGACACTTACAACAGGGATTGTAATTGCTAGATATGAAGCAATAATCGATGACAGACGTATACGTATGTGGCAATAATATGAAATAGACGCAAAGGAGACCAAGCTCATCATACAGTCCATATGAACTCAATGATATTTTTTCTAGCCAACACTCGGAAAACCTTTTCTCCCGACCCTTGAAATCTAAGAAACTACTTTAATATTTTAGCCTTTACAATACAGCTGAATGCGAGTCTTTTTAGGAGACCTTTTAGTGCTGCAGAGCACATGAATCACACTATTAACTCATTAATTACGTCATGAACACTTTTATAGGAGCTATTTTTGGCACTGGAGTCTACTTTGCCAGAGATGCCTCATATTCAAGGTGCTATACTTCAAATACCATTGGTGCCATGTACCTCGCCCGTGTCTTGGTGGGACAGTATTGCAAAGGCGATTCAAACAAGAAAAAACCTCCACCAATAAACCCAAGTCGACCAGAGATTCTGTTCGACTCTATGGTGAACGACATACAGGATCCTTCAATTTTTGTTGTATATTACGACAATCAATGCTACCCAGAATATCTTATTAGATTTTAACAATCAATGCGGTTCAAAAGCGTAATGTGAGAGCTGCAATTGTTTTC